GTGGGAAAGAACATGACAACCATTCATTTAAGCCGTGTTCTCAACTTCGCCCCGTGGCTCGCAAGAGAAGAAAATTTTAGGGAAGAAGTCTTAGACGCCAACAAAACAGTGAGTCTTCGTAGAATATGTGTTTCTGATTTTACGCTTGCCGATTCATATTTATATTATTTAGAGATGGGCGCACTTACAAGTGAGACTTGGGACCGATGTCTACGGAATCTTGATTTGTCCTTTAACCCTTGGCAAGGAAATGAGGTAGCATTTGCCATGTTGCTCAGACTTAAAAATTTGAGAAGCATTGTGATTACTGACAAAAAAGAGAGTTGCTTTAATACACAATTTCCAATGGCTCTTATTACCCCTCCATATAAAGATTCGAGTTTATCTCAATGGAGTTTTTCGGGATTTGCCGAAAGAAACAGATTCCGAGTCAGTTTACCGGGAAGCCAATATTCTAGGAATAAATTTTCTCGGAAGAACAATGGGCCGCTGTCAAAAGACCGTTATTTTAACAAAAATAGAAAAAAGAAATTTAACCTTGACTTCCAGAAATCGTCTTCGAGTTTAAAATCTATAATTGTATGGATTCCTGAAACTCTAGCTTATATAGATGTTAGCAGACTAATTGACATAATTTGGTTAAGAAGGAATATCAGCATCATTGGCGCCCAAAATGTTGCGTTTCTTGATATAACAAATAGCGGATTTGAATTGATCACTGGAAAGATTGAAGGGCTTACGGGATTAAAGACTTTGATAGCCTCGGAAAATAAAATGTCTATTGTATCACCAAATTTTTTTGACACATTTCCCGCCATTGAAACACTTGCAGTCGCCAACTGTGGGTTTGATCTTAATTTTATTGCTACCCAAGGTACGAGATTCCTGTCCGGACTAAAAAAGTTAAAGCGGCTTGATCTCTCATCAAATTCGTTGAGCATTTTGGCCCCGGCTATGTTTCGGCCCAATGCAAACCTCACAGAATTGAGTCTATCTGGGAACCGTTTTTCGGAGATCCCATTTCATTTGATTGATACACCAAAACTTACAAGGCTAGACATTCGTTACAACGCCTTCACGACACTGCAACAGCAGATCACAGAGGAAATCGATTCGTTGGCACTAAAGTGGGGGAAATTTGAGTTATTTTTAGATGGTAATATACTTTCATGCGCTTGTCAAAACATTAAATTCCTAGAATGGCTTCGTTTAACTTCAGTTACTCTAGATCTAGGTGGAAACTTTACTTGCATCAATGAACAGGGCGCCTTGACTTACACTTACACCTACACCGACCTAGAAGGTTTCTGGCGCCAATGTTCGGGACAGTTTTTCTTCTACATATCTCTTATTCTGTTTTGTGTCATAGCCATTGGGTTTTTGTGTGCATTTGTCATCAACAAATACAGAACGTTTTTCATTTCTCAGTTGTTGGGCATTTTCTTTGGCTTTAGACAACATGTGCCTGGAGATTATAGGAGAGGAGTGTTTTTGGCTTACGAAGATAAGGATTATCCATTTGTCACCGGTGACATTTTAAGATTTATTGAACAAAGACTGGGAATGACAACCTACATACGTGACCGTGACCTTGAACCCGGATCTATTTTTGCAAAGGAAATCGTCGAAGCCATTGCCTCTTGTTGGAGATCAGTGATTATAATAAACCAAGATTTTCAAGACAGCAGTGAATATTTCCAGTTCACATGTAGGTCAGCCGTGTCCATGATAAACCTTGCAAACCGTTTTAGAGTTCTGGTCATAGTTACTGAACGATACCGACACAGAATTCCAAGAGACATTTTGTCTGCTATACAAGAAGACAACATCGTTGTAGTTGAACGATTGGAACTTGGTGGGTTGTTGCAGCAAATACTCAGAAATAGACTTACAAGATAACACTGCAGTCAATACTCATCAATGGCTTGTCCTAGTGGCGTACTTGTCCTGACCCTTTAACGCCATCTGAAATGTGCTGGCTGCTCCAAAAATTAACCCACGAAGCAATCCGTGATTTTTTCCACCAGACCTATTAACCTTATACTAGGGGCTACTTGTACTTACAACTTAGGCTTATACTAAGACTTATAGGCCTAAAATGCATTTTGTTAACATTTGAATAACATCTTAGTATTATACTCGTATTTGCTTAAAGCAATGGTTCTCAACCTTCCTAATGCGCGACACTTTAAGACAGTTCCTCGCGTTGTGGTGACCCCCAACCATAAAATTATTTTCGTTGCTACTTCGTAAATCGTGTTTTCTAATGGTCTTAGGTGGTTAAGTGCCGTTCGACCCCCAAAGGGGACGCGACCCACAGGTTGAGAACCGCTGGCTTATAGAATAAAGATTTTTTTTTTATGAGCGTCTCATGCCACTATTTTTAAATCTACTTGTATTATTAGTGGTTCTAGTCTTTTTAAAGCATTAGGCCTAATCTGATTATAAATTCTAATTTAGCATGATGGTGTCAATGCAATTAAAATCGCAAATATTATTACATTGTGAATATTGTTATTTTTAATCATGTTAGTAGTAGACTTGATACTATTTTTTTAATATAACGCCTACTACATATAACGGTATTATAAATAATAATTGTTTGGCTCTAAATATTATTACATTTTATATGATGCCTTATTAGGAGTCCTTATTACGTAAATATGCCGTTAGTTATAATTGTATTAGACCTACTAGTAATATTCAGTTTTAAGATAGTAATTATAATTCAGTAAGATAATAATTATAATAATTATAATTCAGTGAGATAGAAGTATAATTCAGTAAAATAGTACTAATAATTCAGTGAGATAGTAATTATAATTCTCTAAGATAGTAATAATAATTCAGTAAGATAGTAATAATAATTCAGTAAGATAGTAATTATAGTTACTTAGTAATTTTTTTCGTCCACCGCACGCGATTGGCGACCAGTAGCCTTCGCTTGAGCTGCAATTGGTGTAATAAAGTTGAGGGTGAGGTGGAAGCTTAGTTTAGACGAATGGAAATAGAACATCGCAGTGTTATGCATGACACCTTTCCCCGTGCGTGAACTTTGTTTGACCCCAAATTAGATTCCTAGCACACGCTACGTTCATAGATGGGCGTGGCTTAGTACTTTTGATGTGTCGTGTTTACTACCGACCACCAATTAAACACGGTTAGTCCGTCTCCTAGTATCTTGTCGAACGTTCTCGATATGCCGAGAAACGTAAACAAATGCTGAGAAGCTTCTGGAAGGCAGTGCCTACGCTGCATATATAACGGGATTGACAGACACTGGGAGAGGAAGATTGATAGATATTATTCTTTGTGTGCTCATATGTGTTTATTCGCATTCATCATTATTAATTGGCACATTGTACTAATTAATTGTGTACCGGTACAAGGTTTTACGATACTCTGTAAGTTGATGATTTGTAATTATATTTCTTTTGTTTTGTAATTGTCTTATTACTAAATTAAATCTTATAATTGTAAATTGGCAACTGTTTTTGCGTGTCGTATCTTCATTATTGTATTTCTCTATGGTATCGTCCTTTGTTGTGCTCTGTGTGAACGAGCCATAACTTAAAACAAGAGATTAATTTCTCACAATAAAAGCCAGTGCGAAAAAGCAGGATTTGTCGGAATTTTCATCGTGTCTCAATCGTCCAAGGTTAACTTGTCTTGCTTGTCTATGCGTTTCTATGGTTTGAGCTCCCGTCCACTAGCTTGGTATTGACAAAATATATACGACTCGGCCACCCAGCATCCTACTAATAATAGGCTAGTATTACACCTACCATTTACTATTAGTTAGTCTATTAGGTGTTATCTATATGTATAACGACTACAATTAATAACAATGTAACAGTAGACTAGTTACAGCCAGAACTACCCTAGAAGTCTTCTGGTCAGTGGTAATACCAGGGATGTAATTTTTGTTTTACTCTGCGGGGGGGGGGGGGGGGGGAGAAAAACCAAACGTGGCCGGCCTGTTGAGTTGTTTATTTCGCCTGCACGTGCCAAGCAAGCTATGCAAGATGTGTGCTTACTTAATTACTTATGCATTTTTACCCCGTCTGGGGCATGGGCCGTTCACAAAAGTTCTCCACACGTCACGGTTCTGTGATGTCCTTTCCAATTGCTTCAAGATGTATCCCATATTTGGCGTGTCTGCCTCTAGCTCGCGTCTCCATGTAGTCTTAGGCTTTCCTCTCACTCTCTCTTTTCCCTGTGGATTCCATGTTAGAGACTGTCTGGTGATGCTATCAGGGGGTTTTCGGAGAGTATGCCCTATCCACCTCCATCTTTTCTCTATGATGTCTTCATCAATGGGAACCTGGTATGTCCTTTCAAGTAGATCTTTGTTGTTGATGGTATTTGGCCATTTGATGTTCGGGATAGGCATGAACGGAAAAATCGCCTCAAACAACAATAAAACATGAAATGCTGGCAGACAGTTGGTGGCGGGGAACTTTCAAATAGTGAATCCAGTCTAGGTGGCATCATTGAGTGACGGCTCAACACTGAAGATTTTTGTCTGGGAAAATGCGGACACCCAGCGCCTGATCTCCTTGTTGGTGCCGGACACGGGGCCTGCAGCTTCTAGATCTGGGTGGGAAGGAGGGGAGGAAAACCACAGACAAAACCTGAAAAACCATGGTGATAAAGAAAAAAAAAGAAATACATCCGAGCTCGTCTCGTCTGTAAAGTCCTGAGTTCCTTGGCAGCAGGGCTGACTTCGAAGAATCACTTAATAGGAGGTACTCAAGATAGGTCCATTTGAAGTATCTCATGTTAAAACTGAACATTTTTAATTAATTTAAAGAACCTAAATTAATCTTAAAATAAGAGATAACATCTATTAAATATAAATACTCAGCAAAAATTGTAAGACGCACACGGAAAAATATTTACTTATCATCATTTTTGACTACTTTTTATTATTATTAATTAGAAAAGAACGAATCAACACGTATGTTAACTAAGGGAGACAATGCCTATACATTTGGGGGCTTTGACCCCGTGAACTTTGTAAAAATGGTGGACATTGGAGCGATATTACGAAAAGTTAGAGTTTATGAAATAATTTAGCTAAAAATGAATAACTGCGCTTTAAAAATTAATATAGTCTAAGTTTCATAGAAGTGACATGATGGAAACAAATTTTTCAAATCCTTATCCTCGCCATGGTGTCCCCACACTTATTCCTGAGATTGTTTCGGTCTGTCCCGACGCATACGATGAAAAATCAGTGCGCGTCGTTGGTCGGTTAGTAAATAAAGTAAATTAAATGTGTGCTAATAATGGTTTAATCGTTTAAAGAATTAAGAAGTTGTATGTAAAATTTGAAAACATCAGTGATCTTACAATGTAGTTAACGTCTTTTTACAACTTTATCCCCCCCCCCACACCCAAACCAAAATTAATTTAATATAAAAAATTGCTAAACAAAATAGGGTTAAACCTGAAAAAAGGAATTTTGTTGAGTTCCTTTTTTCAGGTTTAACCCTGATTTGTTTTACACATTTTATATTGTGCTAACCTGATTGAAGTCTCTCCCCTTATTAATCTTCAAAATTAATTTAAAATAACAACCTTATTTTTATATTTATATATTCATTATCAATTATCATTATTATTATTATTATACTATACTATTAATCATTATTAATTAATTAATAATAATAGGATAGGAGGCGTGCCTACAATTCTTATTCATTACTTAACATTAAATTTAAGTATAAGATATAGTTATTTAGTGAGAATTCTAGTGAGATTACAATTAAGATTGCATTAAATGTAAACTTAATATCTTGCAAGAAATAAATAATCTCTATTAATTAATTTAATGTCTGATGAAAAGAAATGATTACTTTTTCTCAAATAAATTTTTTATTAATAAGTCCATTGACACTGAGTCATTAAATAGTCAAGTAAATGCAAAGAGATGGCACCGCGACGTATCACACGGCCGCCAATGCGGCAGTGATATTTTATCATGTTTGCTAAAATTAGGAATAAAACGTTAAAAATTAATGCAAAAATGTCCTAAATGTATCCCTAAACCTAACCTGAACCCTTAATCTATCCCTAAACCTAACCTGGGTTTTGACCCTATCCCTAACCTGGGTTTTGACTAGGGGTGTGCCGGAGTCAGGTCCGGAATCCGGTTCCGCCGGATTTTGCACTATCCGGTGAAATCCGGTTCCGCTGGATTTACATGTATCAGGAACAACCGGATTCCGGAATATACTGGATTTCGGAATTTGCCAGATTTTGTGACTCACCGGATCATAATCTGAAATAAAAGTAATTCTCTTTCCCGAATTCCACACGATCACGATACATTAATCGATTGTTTCGAGCGTTGAGCTTGTTTAATGTTTAATATTCCGTACATACCAGAGGCTAGAGTCAGCACCGCTAATAGTGGCCAATAGTGTAGGGACTTTGATAAGAAAATTTAAACTTTTTGTAAAAATAAACCAATGGCATAGTTGAAAAGATGTAATTTTTTAAAGAATTATAACACCAAAATCATATTTTTAGCTGTTGTAGTTTTAAAGTTATGAATTTTTAAAGTACGACTTGGTTTGTCATTTTTTAACATGGACTGCATCTCCACATTCTGTGATCTCATTCCACCAATCCCGTCATGCGCAATGACTATATAGTTTATATAAGGCAACGCATTCCCTGCCTTATCACTAAAATACTGTTTAGACTTAGTTTAAACTTTCAACTTTGGCACATGAATAATTAATTAAAGCTTTCCCTGACCAATGGTTTAATAGTTTTTGCACACGGCAAACTCTTATGAATGAAACTCTGAGGTAGTACTACGATACAGTTATGCAAGTGGCTGTGAATGGTTGCCAATGACAACGTGTTGCACACGGTAAATTCTGATCATTTATAATATGGATTCTACCGGGTTGTTAAAGCTCAAATTAAAACATTCCAGTTTAAATGTCTTTAAATGCATTCTGAAACACAAGTTATCAATTATTTTGATGTAAATAGTGATAATAAATTAATATTTCCTAAGTATCGTCAACTTCCGCCATTAAAAAGGGGGGCGTGGCCAACCCCATGGCGAAATTAGGTTGAGCGAGCTGCATGACCTGCTGCGAACGCGTAGAAACATGGCGTCTCTCGTAAGACACATATCCAAATGGAACGGAACTCAAATATATATCGAAAGTACTAATTTAATAATAAATAGACTTACACATCGGAAAATTAAAAACTCGGATTTTTTGGCGCCGATTGTGAATTCCCATACACAAAAAGTAGTCGTCCACCTTGACTTACCGAAGTATCTACCAATAGTACCAAAATCCGGAATATTCCGGAATCCGGATCCGAATCCGGATCCGGCGGATTTCGCATAAGAAAATCCGGATCCGGTTGGAAAAAACGGATCCGGCACACCCCTAGTTTTGACCCTATCCCTAACCTGGATTTTGACCTTAACCTGAACTCCCTAAATCGATCTCTAAACCTAAACTGAATCCTGGGTTTTGGCCCTATCCCTAACCTGGGTATTGACTTTAACCTGAACTCCCTAAATTGATCTCTAAACCTAAACTGAATCCTTAATATATCCCTAAACCTAACCAAAACTACCCCTAAATCCGCAAGTAAAAAAACATGTGGCATTTACACACTGTGGCAAGAAAACTATGAAAATGAAGAAAAAGCAATAAAAAACTGGCTAAAAATAATGCTAAAGTAAAGAAATAATGAAAACCCAACTTACCGTTTCATAGAGTACACTTTTACACAATTTATTTCAGGTTCCACCTAAAAGAATATCCAGAAAATGAATAAAATACAGTGCCTTTCTATGTATCCAATTTGTGTCAAAGATGGCCAAACCAACAATTATGCAACCAATGAAATTTTAACATAATTAATCAACCAATAAAAATTTAATTAAAACATGCCATCTTCATATTAATGAAAATGTAACTCTATTAACAAAAATAAGTGGAGTGAATCCAAAACAGCAACTTAACAAAAACACGTAAAAGACATCACTGTGCCATTTCTTAGCATTGACCAATAGTCATGTAAACCCTTGTTGAGAGGGGCAATCATGTCCCTGATTTTCTTTGTGTTCTTTTTTTTTTTTTTATTTCTATATGAGCAACATAATTCCTATTATCAACATACGTAAAACATTTTAACTGATTTCAGTTTTCTCTATAAAATTCAATTCTGGCCAGAGGCAGTAAATGCATAATGAAAAAGATTTACTTCAAATTCTTAATCCTATTTGTTAATATTGATCAACCATTTTTCTGAGAATATTTTCTAATTCTATTGGAATTTAATAACTCTGTTGTGCAGTTTAAAATTTAAATTAGTTAAGCTTTCCTTCTTTGTGAGTCATGCAGGTCAATGTATACTGTCCTTTTGCCTAAATATCCACGGTTCTTTCACCATTCTTCACCTCACCAAGTAACCCTCCCTTATTCTTTCCTCCAGAAATAACCCACCTTCTACTTCCTCAAACCCTATCCTGCCCTCTCAACTCTTTCACCACAGTCTCCACTACACCATCACTTTCCCTTCCCTTAATTTCTACCCTTTCTCCACTTCCTCAAATTTACCTTCCTCTCTCCTTTAAAATGATTCCATGTTCCTTATCACCAAATCCTCACCACTTATCCTCTCCCCCAATACTTTGCCCCTGAACCCACCTGCTCTCAGTCTTCCCTTCACTTCTACTTCTACCCATCATCTCTGCACTATCCTGGACATCACTTTTTCCCTACCATCTTCACCTTATAATTAGGCCACTCAACTCTCACCCTCCCTCCACTAAGTACCAGATCCTCTCCAGAAAAATTACATGGAGCAGATGAGTCCCAAAGTTACCTGCTGCAGAGCCCCAATTAATATACACTTAATTTCTATTCCACTCCAGTGTGGATCACTATGATGCTTTCAAATGCATTGCCCTTTTGTCTGAACCCAACAAACCATCAAGCTCATCAGTTAAACTAAGAGTTAACACTCGCCTAACTGACCAAGCAGATTACATTGTTGGCTCTCAAGTCATGCTGATCGGTGAGCTGGAGAAGGTTGACCTCTCTGCCTGTGACTTGGCAGATGATTTCACCCATGGAAGTGGAGGCATTGAACTAAGGGCCAGAGTGTCCAGATGTATTGACGGATTGGATTATGCGGTGTATTGTAAGGGAGTGGATATATGGAGGCAATTTAATTCTGACATGAATATGGAACATTCTTCATAGTTACTGTTTATAAAACTTTTGCATGGGGCCACTTGTTAAAGCACTGAGAACGGAGAGGGGGTGGGGTATTGATTGAGGAGATTTTTGCCTACAGATGTTTATTGAGAGGAGGGAGGTAGAATGTGTACAAAGATTTATACTGTCACGTTAGTCCGTAAAAAAAAAACTTTTCTATACCTGTGAAGCCAAATGTCACTAATTTTTTTTAAAACCATGATTTCTAATTATTTTTTGAAGGCTATAAATTATAAAGTAGATGCAAAGATTATTACCTGTTATGAAACATTGTTGTGATAAATAGTGAGAAAACATGTGACATAACTTTTAACAGGATGTATGTTGACTGCCTTTAATTACATTCTAATGTTATATAAGTAGGCATAGGTAGTTTAGGTTGGAGATGAAAATTACCATTTTTGTACATAGGCTGGGGGGGGGGTATTTTTTTTTTTTAGCCTTCATCAATATATGTATTAGAAGTTCAAAGTTATTTGATTTCTAATAATGTATGTTAAATCTTTTGGAAAAGCTGAATTGACATCTGACACCCTGGACAGTATATTTGTGCAATCTTTAAAAGTTTTTGAAATAGCATGGGCAAAACCAAATAAACTTTTTTATTTTTTTTTTAAATTTTTTTACCATTTTATTAGTCAAGGATGATATTAATTTTAAGTTTTCTGTGTTTTTCTATGCTCTAGCATTATACTGGCACATGACAAATAAACAATAACTTGTAAATGATAACACAAACCAATCATTTTTTTTGGCAAAATTTATGATTGAAAATAAAATCACCAGAATATTCTGTAATAATCACTACAAATACGACACATTGTATGTTAATAAAGATCATTCTTAAATATATTATATTTATATAAGTACTTGCGCACAGATTTGTAGAAAGATTAATTCTTTTTAAATGATATGCTCCTGCAGAGTGCAAAGCTACTCCTAAAAAGTAAAGTTTGCACCTCTGCTTTGAAAAACATAGCAGATTTCAAACTGTACAAAAAACAACAACATACAGCTCATAACCTATTTCAGTATGGATCTACACGGTATAAAATTGCTATAAAATTTGTATTCGAACAAAAGTCAAATAACCATTCCTACTTAACAAAAATATTTAAATAAAGATAATTAAATTTTATAAATCTTAATGTTTGAAAGTCAGGAAAATTCCTAATACATATAACTCTGCTATTATTTGTTTAAAGACTTTATTTACATATTCTTTGAGTGAGTGTGTGTGAGCATGGGAGAGAAAAATGTGAGGGATAAGTAAGAGGACATTTTTTGTGTGTTATAATTTGAATTAGAAATCTGGAAAGTACTGTCCTTTGCATTGTCTTTTTGTAACTGCTGTTGAGCAAGTGTTCCTAAATAATATGCATCTGATCTTAAATGTTACTTGTGCACAACTAAAATAAACTAATTATAATATATGAACTGTTTAAAATAATTTTTTGTTTTTTGTTTTGTAATTTTTAGGTTCACCCCTCCTTAATACTGAGTTTATCACTTAAAATGTAAAGGCTTTAAATAAATGGCACAGCGGGCCAGTGTTTTTAATGTATCATTTCTCTGTTGAGTAGTGGGTATTAAAAGTAAAATTAATTATTTTTTTTAAAAATAAATTATTCTAACACAACATTGAATAGTTACTTTAATAATAAACACATAGCTTTATAAGAAAAAAAAAAGCTTATGGGTGAAATGCTTCATCGTAAAAAGGAAAACAGTTTTAGAGCTATTTATAGCCTCATTGCTAAAAAACAGTAATTTTTATTAAGTATCAACACAAAAAAACAACTGGAGGGAAAAAAATGAAATGAAAACCCTCATGCCACAGCTTTGTTGAAAAATAAACAAACGAAAATCACAAAATTATTATTTACCAAGGGTGACAGCTTAGAGAATCTTGGGAAAAGTAATCTAAGTTCCTAGGTCTAACATGGGAAACTAGTCAAACATCGGAAGGGTAGAGTCACACAAGATAAAGTGTGTGGGGGGGAGTAATGGTAAAGAATTCAACTTCTAATTGTATGCAAAATACTACCAAGATGTGATTATTTGGAATGAAATTTCATTAGTTTTGTTTTTTAAAACTGGTGTAAATTTTTTTTTTTTTAAATGACAACAGTCATGTGCACAGCTTTTTATTAAGGGACAAATTTATCTTAATTCATCCACTTTGGCATAGATTTCCTAATCTTTTGCAACTTATGGTCAATGAACAAGTGGTCAATTTAAAACAATGCTTTTTGAAAAACAACATCTTTAATTCATATCAAAATGATGAAAGTGATCCCTACGAGTACAAAGTATGGCCAAATAATTACATTGGTAGTTTTTTGCTGCAATTCTACTACATCTTAATCAAATGTCAGCATTGTTTAAATATTTTACCAAATGTCAACATTTTACATAGGAGTATTCATGACATCTCATCATAGTTTGTGGAAAATCTGGTACGAAATAGTGCTTGTGATTTTCATACAGCCCCGTGCCATTGTGTTCAGAAGTTAAAAAAATAAATAACACATGACCAAAGTGTGACCTGGATGCTGCTACTGCTCCGCCATACATTGAGCTGAACTTTGCTCCCTCTCACTCTGTTGTCATGTAAATGTTGATTAGCAGCTGATTTTAACTCTCTGAGCTCATAAATAGGTTTTGAATCAATGTTTTATAAATTGACAGTTGAGAGCACTACCGATTCCATCAGGGATAATTTTAAAAAATAAAAGAAAAGCACTAAAATAAAATTCATCACCTCACATTTAATGTTTGGCATTTCTAAAAATGTCGTTTTTTTTTTTCCTTAAATTTTAAATAAAAATTGATTTTAACGTCTTCCATCACAATTCACTATTGACAAAAAATTGATTATTTCAGGAGGATAAGCCCATTTTGAATGTCTTTTTTTTTCATCAGTTTCTAGGAACCTGCTGTATTTTCACTGACTCACTCCACTAGAATTGTCTTTTTTAAATATTTTTTTTAACATATATGAATGTACATTTAGTGCCAGGCAAAATAAAGTTATATTTTAAAACAACATTTATGAAATATGACTATGCCCAAGAAGTTAAATATATTGGGAGGGGGGGGGGGTGGTGGTGTTTCCGGATTACCCTGTAGAATTATGTTTAGAATAATTTGGCCCTTGACAAATTAATGTAAGACCCCAAAAAAAAGGGTATTTTATTTGAGAGAGAAAATATCATGATCACTCCTCATTTTTGTCATCAGAAAAGAGCTTTTCTTTCAGTTCATTAAAACAAAACCAATCTCCTATACCAAGGGACATTATGCTTTGTTAATGCCAAAAACAGTTCATAATAAATATTAAATAAATGAAAATAACATGATATGGTACATATGTATAATGTCCACAGCAAATGATTGGTTGAAATTTGGATGAATTTGGAAATCACTCTGAAAATAAAATCACATTGAGCAAATAAATATTATTTAAAATCTTTATGAACCTGTTTCACATAGTGAATTTGATTATGGTAGTTATGTTTCTCCTTCATCCTATTTTACTAGCTTCATAATTTTGTTTCATTCCGGATAAGCAGTACCGTAATTAAAAATGTACAGGTAATTTTTGTTCTTTATTGATTGTGAATTATGGAAATGAAGAGACAATCTCTACTCCAGACATTTCTAACAGCACAGTGGTTAGAAGCTTCCTTTAGTAGTTCAAATGAGGTCACATTTTTGTCACTATGACTTTACAGTGTATACAAGCAACAGAGCCCATAACATAAAATCCTTATATCAGACATTTAAATACTATGATATATTTTAAAATTAATAAATTGACTATATATTTACCCCTTGAGGAAAACTATTTCCATGTTTATCAAAAATAATAATTTATTAAAGATTTTTTTCCCAAATGTAATTCAACATAATGTACTTGATTACAAATTTCACAAAGTGTCTCTTGTAATTGGCTTCAAATCTGTTCTCTAATTTTAAATTGTTTTTAAAATTTGCTTATTCAATGAATGTCATGGTTAAAAATATGTAGCCTAGCCAAATAAAAAAAATGAGAAAAAAAAGTAATGAGAAAAAAACAAAACACAAAGACATTGCAGAACATGAAATAATATCAATGCAAGATTATTTAAAGCTTGAGTACAAACAGAATCCCACATATCTAATCACAATGACAAGTTCACAATCTAGTGGACGTCATGAACAAAGAAATCATCACGGTAAATGTTGATTAGGCACTGGGTGACTGGCTCATATAATTATTACTTTTACAACCTGATCGTTCAACGAGCGTTTCTTTTTTAAATGATATCTCACACTAGCTTACAAGAAGCTTCTAACCTAATTAATGTCCAATTAGCAGTTTGGCATTTGTCAGTGGTTTTGTATTTTAAGAAATGAGTTTCACTACTGGAATGGTTTTAATTTATGTTTTTACTTTTTTATGTTTTTGCTTGTTTCTTCTATGAGGAAACATCTTAAGTTACCATAGACAAAAACCTCAACTTTTCAAATGGTTGGAGAAGTTTAACACTGAGCCTGTTGGAAAAAGTGTTTAATGAAAAGCTGTTATTTGAGTTAGGTTCATCACCATCAGAATAGCTCATTACCTTTGTAGCGTTACCCTCAACCTGAAAGCACAACAAGTAATTGAAACATCCACATGTTTTTTTTATTTCTGGTCACAACCTCATTCCTGCTTAGTTTATTACTTACTGGACGGTTGTCACCACCAGATACAAAAATGTTGACACAAACACTATGCAACTTTGGCATCTCTGTTTTCTACTGCTAACAACCAGGGATAAAATACTGTACAGTCCCACTGGTCATGCAGGTACAAGTGGTGGGCAACAACTTACTAAATCAAAATGTATATCACATCAAACAAGGGAGTTCAAGCAGGCAGGTCAATTATTGTACAGATAGATGACATATATTATATACAGTTAAATAAACAATGTTAATTATGCCAAAGTGAAACTCAACAAATACCAGGAAAAATAACAAAGAATACATAAAAATTATTATTTTAAAAAAAAAATAATGGAGTCAACATGAAATTAAATAATAGAGGAAAAATTGCACAAAGTATTTGTTAGTTTCACCACCCTCAAAAAGTGATGTGGCCCTTCTCACAAGAAAGGCTGCAGCCTTCCTTCCTTTTTCGAAATCAAAACTGAGCTAAGGGACACCACCACAATCCGTTTATGATGACCTCTACGAAGGTGCTCGCTAGTAGGAGTTTGCGTGTGATTACATGAGCAGATTGGTTGTTAATTTTATGATAGTGTAAAGTAAAACTATCTGTTACTCGAACTAATGATAGATATAGCAAAAACGATCAAAGGTCACTTTTCAGCAACTGTTGAATTTTAGTGGGGACTTTTTATCCTTTCAATCTAATACAGCAATAAGAGACTATTTAAAAAAATAACGTTTCTTATGTTTGGTTTAAGCCAATAAACATAGGTTTTGATTTCAATGATTATTTCAGGAAAGAGCCCTAAAAGATGCCATGAACAATTTATTCACTGCCTAATCTGTGAAGATATGTCAATGCCCGGAGGTGTGATGATATCTTTCTCTCCAGGTTTATAATGTAGTATCCCCAATTTAGATGTGCACTTCACATTGCATACTACTACTACAGTAGTACAATTTTTAAAAGTATGATTATTTCCAAAACAATGGCAAAGGAAAGTTTCCCCTGAAGTGATTTTTCAATCCAGTATCCCAACATATGCTAGAAAAGGCAAGAGGTATTAATATTGTTAAAAACTCTAATTAATCAGAGGATCAAAGCTAAAGGAGGAACAAAAAAAAATATTGTGAGATTTTGGGGGTTGAAACAACAGAATGGCTGGTGTGAACTTAGAATCACAGAAAAGCTGGGGGGTAACTGTTTGAAGGCAGGTAATAGAAACTTGAGAATAATCTTTCACAAGTTACCATTACTCCTTAAACATCAAAAATAAGGACATGCATTATAAAATCATGCAAAAACAAAGGCTTAAAAATAAAATATTTAACATGATAACTACACATGTAAGAATGTTCTTTAGTACAGCCTATTGGTTGTAATTGATGCACTTAAGACTTTAATGGTATTTTTTTAAGAAATGGACTACATTTTATCATTATTTGCTATAATGAAATTTCCTCAACCAAAAAAGTAACAAAAATAGAAAATCATCACAGCCAATGTATTTTTCGTAAGCAACAATTTTGAGACCAGAAAAATAAAAGTTACATCACCTTATTTTATCACATCATTAAATACTTTATTTTTAAAAGGATTAATAATTTATGTTTTAAAAATTTGTGTTAAAACTTAAATTATAACACAGATTAATTCTTGAAAACACTAAATAAGTTGAAATAGAATAATTATGAACATTTATACAGCATCTTTGTTATAGGGCACATGCACAGTAAGTCTACACTACAGAGAGCCATTATGTGGTTGGGAGTACATTTGTGCCTCAATTCTTGTACGGTACCAGTACCTTTATCTGTCATCATAAACTAATCAGGAATAGTTTTGGTTGAAACATTTCAATATAGATCGAGGAAGAATAAATAATCAATAAATAAGCTACCAGCCATTAGCAGTTGAGACTATTACACAGAAACAAATAAGTAGATCACTATATATTTTTTCCCATCATTTATTGATTGGATGAACTTTGATGTTAATGGGTTTCATTACATCATAGTCTTAAGTAGGCTACTTATCTCAAGGTTTAAATTCAACTGCTGATTTATTATTGATTGATGATAATTAACAGATCAGATGAGAATCACTTTAACAAATTAAGAATGAAATATTAAAAACATTCTTTGAATTAATGTCAAGAATTCTGACTAGATTTTTAAATAATAATAACAGTTCTTGCTTAAATTTTTATAACAGAAATTGATTATGCAAACTAACCACATTTCTATACTGCTCAAACCAATATATGAGACTTAAATTTTTAAAAATATAATTAAGTTTTAAAATTTCTCCCACAAGAATCTGGCAATTTAATGCTTTTTGTCGATGAAATTGGGTATGTGTTTCAAAAACCTGTTAAAGAATTTGTTTTATTTATTATTTCGGTGACATCATTAAAAGAAAAATTTTTAAACATTCAATACCGTACTATTACAGTTATACCTCCTCACAAAATTCTTCAAATGGATAAATCATTCCTAAGTACAAAACATCTCACGTAATTATTCTCATGACACTGAAGAAGCCCTTTGTTCGTTTTCTCTCTGAGTTTGTCGAGTCAGTGAGCTGTCCCTAGATGGGCCTTTTGAGCGGGAGCCCCTAGACATGGAGCTCTCCCTTGAGTCTGCCCTAGTTTGAGATCGTTTTCTACTTCGCTTGAATAATTTCTTGAGGCTTCCACCCAGTGTTCGGGATTTCTTGAAATTGGGGGAGGGAGGTGCATCCTTAGACTGTGGCCTAACTAGCTCTAAATCATCTGAGGATCAGAACAAAAAGAATAATTAGTGCGATTGACGATAAAAAGTATACCATTTATGTTTGAAACAAATTAATTTCTTAAATTTGTTAACAATAAATGTTAATTATATTGAAAGAAAATAATTGTCCCTACCGGTAATCGAATTTCTACTACTGGATATTGATATGTTTTGTCTGGTGCATTACCAAATAACACAGCAAAATTTGAATGTTAACATCATTAATTTAGAAAAATTTATGTAAATTATCATTTAAAAATAGATATTTATTTAGATTTTAAAAGTACTGTAAAAGCATCTGAGTTCCCTTCATTTAAACTCGACCTGACAATTTCTTCCCAGTTAAGTTACATGATTAACATTTAAACTTTTTTTTTAAAACAGCACATTTAAACAGATAAGTGGTACAAACAGCCAACTAGATCACCAAAATGACTACACTACTACATCAACCCAGAGCAACATGGCAAGAGACAAAGCAACAGCATGGGCATTATTCAGCTAGAAACTGGTCAAATGAACCAAACCTCTACATTAGTGGCTTTGTTATTAACTGGGTGAGGTAAAGGGATTAATGATTTGTTTTAAAGGCGAAAGGATTATTATTTTTATTTGTTTAAAGTTACTAAACTTATAAGA